ATTACTACTAGACTAGATACAAACTTGAGGATTACTACTAGACTAGAGACGCAGGGCAACCGCTTTTGATGTCAAAGCGGCCGCGTCAGACACCCAGAGGATGCGTTATGTCAGCTGGATGATTGGATTGTCATGCAAAACCCTCACGGCAGGTTGCACAGCTTTAAACAAAGGTAGACCGGTAGACCTGCAGATTTGTGTCAAGAGTCCTGACAATGGTTCGCAAACATTGAAGACTAGTTTATCCCATCATGTTTGAGGGCTTGCCCTGGATTCAGTTCACTTCTTGGACTGCAGCTGGCACAAACAAAGCCAGATTTACCACACAGCTTCAGGCACAAAAATGATGTGACAAAAAACACGTTTACAGTGATCAAATTAACTTAGAGATGACAAATTAGGACGATTAGGATCTAATCGCTCATGGATCACAGTGTTGAGACTCTTCCTTTCTCTTCGTCCAGTTGCAACTCCCGACAAGCGGTCTTGTGGAACTCGCTGAACATGTAGAGACCACCGCCAGAGACAAAGAGCAAGAACACCGCGAAAACCACACCTTGGTTCCGCAATCGTTCTAGGACGAGCGTGTGACGTACGAGAAAGAAATGGACCGTAGTCGCCTCGTCATGATTCGAGGACAGCCACCATTTCAACCCAAAGATTCTTAGTGAGAGGCCACAGCTGAGGCAGGCTAAGGACCTGTCCTTGAAACTCATGTTTCGTTGGTCTCTTGTGTGAGGCTTCATCCACGGCTTCACCACAGTGCCCCAGGAACCTTCTCTCTTCTGGGGCTGCCCAGCCATCCAGAAATCTGGAGGGTGCCACTATCTGCATGGCCTTATCCGGTTCAATCTGTCCATCCAGAGACGGAACAGCTGGACATGCGGCGTGTTTTCAAGGGCTTCAGCTTCATCCTGAATCCTGATCTCCTAAAAACTCGACCTGTCACGAACGGACAAATCACTTCGACATAGGATCTGGCCCATCACAGTTAAGTTATGGCAGTGGATAGACGGTAGATACATGCCTTCGTGGAGGCTGAGGGTTTTCCTATATACCTGTTACAGCTGGCTTGCCGCTAGCTGCTCCTAAGAGCGCTTCCCACTCTACAAGACTGCAATGGACAAACACACCCAAAGGTCAAAGGTGAAACATTTTCTTCCTGCCAGGGATGAAATGGAGCGATCACAGTTCATGCAAGGGCCGTCAGGGATGTGTGAAAATTTTTGGTGTAGCTCTCCGGAGGTGTTGATGTTTTAGCCAAACTTGTTCTAGGAGCTGTCTTCTGAGACGACGACCCACCAACATCTTGGATGTGTCTAAGAATAGAGGTGTCTAGTCATCTGCCATCAGCTTTCTGCAAATTCTCTGCGCCCCTTGAGACCAGCACTGAGGACTTTGCCAAGAATTCCCAAAAACACCAGCAAACTACACAACACCAGCAAGCTTGAGGCCAAACACAACGGAGATCGTGACCGCGCCGTTTGGGCACACGTTCGCTTGGGGGAGCTATCCAGTGAGCCATCGAGTGAGCTAAGCTGCTGGTGTCGCCCAGCCACGGTCTACTGTTGGCCCCTGCACCCTAGAAGCGATGGCCTCCACCCTGGGGTGCGATGGCCTCCAATATCCCTTGTTTTTGGTTTCGTTTGGTTTTGACTCACCCGCAAAATGGCAGAAGGCATGGCTTTCACTCACATTTGCTGCTTTTTCCGCACAAGACCAGTGCCTTTGGGGACAGTGCCTTTGTGGCTATGCATCTTCCTCAACAGCAGGCACTATTGGCGCAGCAGCGTATGGCGAGGCCATACGTCCTATGCGATGAAAGTTGAACCCAAAAATCTCCTTATGGGGCTGACAAATCACTGCACTAATAATCAACACAGCAAGAAAGCCTACAAGGGTACATTGTCCCAACATAGGCCACTGCGTGTCACCACCATCTTGGGTGAATTCACCATCTTGGGTCTTGAATTCATATTCGCACACCTTGGGCCCTCCCACAAAATTCAGCACTGGCTGGAGCTTTGTCGCATTGGCTGGCGCCAAATGGCAGAGCCCTGAAAGGGCGAAGTAGGAAAAAAAGGCGCAGCGCGGTTCCTGCCAACCAGTTTGTGTCCAAACATGGGAGGCGACGTGGTCAAACTCCACTGTTTGGCCGGTGTTGGAACCAACACCGGTGTTGATGATGTCCAACACCGGCTGCAGAACAAATCGAAATCAAAGTCCCAACATCGCAGGTTTTTTATCAGGGAAAGTCCTCATGTGGCACCCGACTTGGAGTTCCCCCTTTTATCCTTTTCTTCGGAAGCACTTGTAAACGTGTATATCATCGTATATCTACCTAGAAAACAATTGAACAGCTACAAGATAACTGATTGAGTAAGTGAACAGCCAAACAGCAGCATGAAAAGATTGCTTTCTTTTTCTACCAGTGGTCCCCGAAAAGTCGCTGGAAAGCTGCTCAAACTCTCTCCTGCTCGCACCAGCTCTGGCAGTCCAGGGCATCCTGAAGGACTTGAGGTTCCACATCTGAGAGGAGCGGTTGGTACCTGGCTTCGGAAGACGGTGACCGTTGTCCTTGTTTGCTTTCAGAAGATTCGATTCTTTTGGAGCTGAAACATGGGTGAAACTCAGTGAAACCGAAATGCATATGAGAATCACAGCCTTTGTTAGGGAGCAGGTGCTTTGGCCTCGGGAGCAGGTATTGAAATTCATATGACAGGTGCCTAATTCATATGAGCCAGGTCTGAGTCACAGGCACTTTGTTAGGGAGTACCGAACGAACGCATAGGTCTTCGCCTTCTAAAGGAGCTGCGTTGGATAGAACGCCGAATTGAAATCCATTGTGCCAATCTCAAAGAGACAAGGCACATGGATGTCAGAAAGAATTGCACAATTTCTTTCATGACTTTTGTGTTAAGACATGGTGGGTCAAGACATCAAAACACGAAAAGGCCGACGGACTCATGTCTTTCAAAGGGCGACGGACGCCGGCCGACGGACTCCGCTAAGAGACAGTGCATGGGAATGATAGCATTCTCGATGTTGCTCGGCCAACTTGCGCGCGGCGGGCAGCAACTGCTGCGGGTGGCACACTGGAGGCCCAGAAACCCATCCAGGCGTTGTTTGGTGCACACCCTTGGGCATCAGTAGGTGCCCCAGGATGTGGCAATGACCTCCAGGCGTCCAATAGGAGAAAGACCCGCAGCTTCGAATCCTGAAAATGCCGGATCAAAAGACAGTTGTGACACACGAATCCCAGAGACCACAGAGATAAAGAAGGGGGCACGAAAAGAGCCAAAATCACGGAAATGACCCTACTTGCAAGAAGGCGCCAGTCATTGCTTGGTTATGTAAAGCGAGGGGATATGCGTGGTGACGGAACACCGTCTGAAGAAGTGGTTCCTCGCCCCAACCACTTGTTTGTTCGGTTTTGACCTTCTCCAGCTTGGATAAGGCCAGAAAACTGGACCCCAGAACAAAAGCAGGGCTTTGGAGAAATAATTGAATCCGCTGTCTGTTGCTGCCCGAAGCCATTTCATGCCAATCAACAGTCGAGGCACCCAGGGTTCGCCCAAGCCTCCAAAGGTTCTCGCACCTAGCTCAACCATGGCTCTGACTAGCATTTCATGATATTCCCAAACCAGCGTGCGAATAGCGGCTTCAACCGTGCCAAGTCTCCCGGAACATCTCGCTTGGCATGCCAAGGCATCTTCTTCCAGCGTCATAGGCTCCCCCAAAACCTCGTTGCGCCACCTCGGTGTGGCGGTCGAGCGAGTCGAAGGTTGGATTGGCCAGTTGGCCTCGGGGGACTTTTTCGAAAAGACTCCCATGAAGAGACTGACCCACTATTAGCTAGAAGGTCTTGTAGCGAGACCAAGCAAGCCGAGCCTTGAAACACGAGGCAAACACACTTGGACGGGCGGACGGCCATCTCTAAAGTCTAACATGTATCAGATAGCTCTTGTAATCCAAACAGCACACCTCAAATTCCCCAACTACGTCCGTTCAACAAACCAACTACCCTTCTGATTGCTCGGCCATTGTCTGCTCGGCCATTGTCACGCATGAAATCCGTCACTGAAGGACCAGTGGATGAAATCGAACGGATTTCTTGGCCGAGAGAATCGATTTCTTGCGAAACAAATAAGGAATTCGAGCAACTGCGAGCGAGTGGGTGGTTTGTTTTTCTTCCAAAACTCCACGTGGTTCTTGCGCAAGACACCCGAGAGATGCAGAATCAGTCGTGCAGAGAACTTCACCAGAGCTATTGCTTTCCTGCATGAAGTCACACTGCACATAAAGCAGGGGTGTGTTATTACTGGGACTGAATGGGACCTGTTCAGAGTCTGGGAAAATGGAAAAAGAGTTGGGACTGCCTCAATCAACCCTCCGTTTACGAACAGGCAGAAAAAGAGTATCCAGGAGCCATCGAGTCCCAAAACATCCCTACCCCGCACCTTCAATGGCATGCCAGGAGCCCATTCCGGCTGCGAAGCGGTCAGAGATGACGCCACATTCCTGGAGAGGGGGGCCCGAAAGTTAAAAAACACACAGGAACATGCTGAATCCCCTTCTCAAAGCCGAACCCCTGCCCTCTTTAGGCCAAAAACAAGGCATGTCCTTCGAAAGTCTTCAGCCTCGGCCTGGATCTCTAAGATCTCCGGGTTGCTGTCCTCCTTCAACCAACTTGCATTTGCATCTGAGAGGTTGTATCCCAGCTTCAGCCAGATCTCATCAATTCGCTCCATTTCTCGGCTCCGATTTAGACTTCTGAGCCGCCTTCGCTTCACCAACCGCCGAATGATATTGAAGGGCGCGTTGTTGACAGCGGCATCTGCAGCGGCAGCGGCAGCCGCATCTTCTTCAGGCAGTGTCTCATTGGCCTATCAAAACACACTGGGAGGGTCAAAGGAAGTTGAACAAGTGGTTGTGTTTGCGGCAACTGCTGGTCTGGCTTTCACTTTGTATACTTTGTTCGCGTGGTTGTAACCCTTGCAAGGCACTCCTGCATGTAACACAGCACTCACAGCACTCACAGATCTCAGGTCCCTCCTGCATCTCTTCAAGCCTTTGAATAAATTGCCTCTTTCTTCCAAGATTGCAGGTCGCATGGGTCCCCGCGGCACCGGCAGATGTGGTGGTCCCTCCAGCAGCAATGGCCGCCACGCCCACCAGGCAAATGGCATCTCTCTCAGGTTCTGGGGAGCAGTGATTCACTGCCAGAGCGAGATAGAAAACCAGTCCTGCAAGGCGCTTTCTGTCGCTCAAAAAAATACAATAAAAACACAAACGTTTCCGGAATCGGTTCACAGAGCGCCCCACTGGCGCTCTGGGCACATCCAAGCAATTCTAAATTCTAAAGGTGCAATAGAATGGAAGTGGTCATCCCCAAAACCAGGGGAGGGGGATGGTCAAACAACAAATCCCTCATTGTGGGGGGATGGTCATCCTACCCGGACCACAACAACTATATTTCATCCCATGAAGAGATGAACTCACCATCCCATACCATCCAGCTTGTGATTCGGCGGAACAGCCCCTTTGGCAACCAGGCCATGGACGGAGCACGGCCCATTCTTGCGCATGCAAACCTGGGAACCCCCTTCCCACCCAAAGCGACGCGCGCGACGGCCCGTCTTGTAAAGGAGGTCAGCAGCACTGAAACGTCCACCGTGCAGGCAGTCCGGCTGAGCTCCTCCGTGAAGGGCGTCGCGTAGTTCACCGGGCAATTCCGTGCCACCGCGTCCATGGACAAGCCTCCACAGTCAAAAATGAGGAGCTCCGGATGGTTTTCTGGAGCAGGGCACCAGTTGGGTTTTGGAGGATTGAATGGTGCCTTTCAGAACACTGGCCTGGAACCCAACAACGACCAACGACGCATGCAAGATTGTAGCAAAGAAGCTTGACATCCAGAAGTTTGCATCAAGCTGGCTAGCAACCAGTTTTCGGCCCATTTCCCTAAGTGGCTCGTAACTCGCTGCTCAAAGAATGGCACTGTGGACTCTGCGTTTGCTTTTGGAACCAGCTCGGCCCATGCTCCGCCCGGCTCGCCCGGCCTATCGCCGCCACCGAGCGCGTCGCGTCAATGGCATCCACTGTACATTGAGCAATGTCCCATTGACGCTTCACAGGCAAATCCAATGGATTCATCAAACGTCGCCCCGGCTCAATCTCTTTCGGAAGGTCAATAGCTCCTCCAAACGAAGAGCTGCTGTCACGAACTGCAAAACGCCCAAGGAAACACTGTGGGAGTCTTAGGGTTCCACCTGATTGTAGTATTGACAAGTGTTCTCTTTGAGAATTCCGTCACTGTTGTGTCTCGCCTTGACTGATCAGAGCGGTGCACTCAACACCGCTCAAACACCCGGTTGTCAAAAGCGTTGCACCCCGAGTCTCCAGGCCCCCCGAGTCTCCAGGAGCGACGTTCTCTTCGGCGCACCGAGGGGAGCGAGTCGGTCCTTTGTCGCAGGCTGCAGAGATGGCGATGCCGCCGTTGATGAAGAGCACGGCGGGCACCATCAAGGTCTCAATCGACGCGGCGCAGCCCTGCGCAAAGCGGTCAAAATGGCGGTGTCTGAAAACCGAGCATGCGAGATGCAGCACATGTGTAGCTGTTGAAACGAAGCTGCGGAAACTCGGCCGAAAATGCATTGAAACTGCGTGTGAGCAGCTGTAGCCCTTAAGAGCCGGTTGCCCCGGTGCGTGCCCCCATGCCTGGTAGCTGTGCTTGTAGCTATCCAGTTTGGGTGGTGTGTGGGCATAGACAGACAGGTGTTTCGTAGGTTATGAGCCCAACATTACGCTTGTGTGGATGTTCTTGGATGGAATCATCGGGGTGCTCTGTGAAGGCATGACAGCTACTGCGGTGTGCAGGGTGTGGCAAGCTACAGATGCATTTTCAATTCATGTAGCTGGGTGCCTAACAGTCGGTGCGGTGGCTCATGCCCGACGGCCCAGTGGTGTGGACACAATGCACTCTGCTTACTTGAGCCGCAGAGTGGGGGTAGTGCGTGTGAGCAGCTGTAGCCCTTAAGAGCCGGTTGCCCGGGTGCGTGCCCCCATGCCTGGTAGCTGTGCTTGTAGGTATCCAGTTTGGGTGGTGTGTGGGCATAGACAAATGTTTCGTAGAATCAACCCCTGCAACAGTGGGCGCTGCTTCATCTGCTTTCCCTGGCCTCATCCACTGTGGCAGTGCGTTCGCAGGTGGAGATCAGGACCGTTAGGGATCGTGCAAGTTGAGCCAGAGCCGCAAACAAGGCGGTGGTACTCAGCAGGCAAACCTGGCTCGATGGCAAACCGGGTTCCTTTGATCTACCTTCCCCCGTGGCCGTGCGTTCATTGTCATTGGGTCACAGGAACACAAGCAAACCAAGCATACCAGAGAGGGTCACACATCGATGAGCAAAGAAAACCAGGAAATCAGGAAAGACTCACCGTCACCGAAAGACCCACGTGACACAAACATCAAGCATTGGAAACTGCTCCACCGTGAAGAAGTCATAATTCATATGCCAAATGATCATGTCAAGATTCGGCTGTCTTCAGGGGATTGCACTGTGTGGTGTTGTGAATGTTTCTGATTGCGTTTCACAATGTCATCAATGTCAATGAAGTCCTCCCATGTGGGTTCCGGGTCCCAGTGATGGCCGAGCCACAGCCGTTCAGCGCGGCTTTTTTAGTCATTTCCAATTGCCAAGCATCGAGCCAAGTAACTTTAACCGGAAGTGTGGCCTCTTCCCCAGGCTGGTAGGATGCAGTATCAATTGCCGACTGAGGGCAGGAGTTCACGATGTTTCGCATCATGAAGGTCAGTCGCGCCAGGTTGCTCATGAAGCCGATCGAGGCAAATGAGCATGTGGCTTGCCGAAATTTCTTCCTGAATGGACATGCGTGACCATCCCGACCTTCTTGATGTCTGGGTTTTTCTCGTTACATACGGAAATCTATCTACCATCAAGGTCACAAAGACTAACAGATCAGCCCAAGACAGGTTGGTGCATGGGACTGTTTGAGGTTCTTTGTTTCATTCATTCGGTCTTCAGCTTCGGCACCTTTCATTGGAATTCTTCAGCGCCAGCCACTTGGCTGGCCTCGGAGCCGTTCCCAACAAGTATGGCAAGAGCTTCACCTCGCGGGAGCATGCGGGAACTGTCTGGAAACCCAGCAAGGCGATGAAGCTCCAATGAAAGCCCAGCATGGCGTTGGCTGGCGCAAGCGCTGGGCTAACGAATGGCAAACCGCGACCTGTATGACCAGTATGGCCCAGCAACTGATGAGTTGGAGTGCAGGATTTTGTTGGTTCTATTCTCTGAACTGCTGTAGGCTGCATCTCTCGAAATCTGGTTTCAGAGACTGTCTTGAACTATATTTCACATGCCTGTGCACGCAACCTGTGAATCGAACATGTTCACCTCCGCATTTTTGTTCTTATAACCAAAACACTGCCACAAAATTTTTATAACCCTGGAACCATTTGAAAAACAAGAACTATGTCTTCGGACTGCGGGTTGACCGAAAACCAGGCACCAATCTGGTCGCCAGGAACTTCATCGAAACCACACTTGGTGGAAACATCTGCGAAACAGTTTGGCAATCAACAAAGAACTATGATTCAATCTTATCCAGCCACTCTTCTTTGTGGCCTATGTTTAACCTTTTATTCTGTAGAAAAAATTCGCGTGCCCCGATTAGCACAACTTGTGAACGATCTTTGCCCTTCCTTAAACACGTTTTCTGAAGTCCTGTCATCACAAATTGCATTTGATGTCATCATCTCACAAGTTACCACATGGCAATTCGCAACAAACCACTACACCACAAGGCACCACACCAAACAGCACCACCAAGTTTTTCGGATTGCTAGTCCTCTGCACCTGAGAAATCCACGTCCAAACTGGCACATGGTGGAAACACGCGTTTGCTGGATATTGTTTTTGTTGGCCATGTTGAGGTGGTCATTAAAAAACGCTTGGATTGCATTTGTTCAAATGCGTTGCTTTCAACAAGCATGTCCAACACAAACACAAAAACGTCCATTCTTGCAGAACCAATCGGTTTTATGTTTAACTACAAGCACCTGCTTTCAACAACATGACGTTGCATGTTGCAATGTGGTTTTGTTTGCTCGAAAACATCTGTTGAATATATTGTTATCAAAAAATCGGGGTAATTGGATCAATACACCCACACTCCTTTCAACAACATTATGTTTGCAATGGAAAGTCAAAGTTGGAACAAACTGTTTGGCAGCTTCATCGCTCCTTTTTTCTATGGATGCTGAGCCACTGCGGGCGGTTGTATACACAATCAAATGTACATCAGGTGTATTCAAAATGTCTAACACCCTGCCTTGCGTAGGACACCTTTTGTGGCCTTAAGCATGCTACTCTTCGAGTTCAGCAGCTGTAAAAATCAGGTGGTCTCTGTCTTCGTCCCTGTTGTGCCATGCTTCGACTATTGCGTCCCATGTTTAGCCGTACTCTCCACTCACCAAATTAATTTTTGTCGTAGATGTCATACATCAAGGCGTAGTCGAACTGCAGTCCTGGTTCATTGGGGTTGTGCTTTGCGGCCAAAAGTTGCAGGAACTGCTTGGACAAATACTCAGGGAAAAAAACCAGCTTCATAGATCCTCTCAACTCGGATCTTCTCAATCTGCGGGATCAAGGTGTAGAGGTAACCCCAATCCTCAAACCTGTTGGGAACAGGGTCCACAGGTTCTTCCTGTGGCTCAGGGCTGCTCCTCCTTGCTGGTCGATCTTCAGGATCACTGTTTGTCATACCACCTTCTCTTTCTGAACTTGTAGGCCTGTAGCGGCGTGCATAGCTGCTTCCATCTCTTGTCCTCTGGAAGTAGCTCTCTCCACTTGAAGCGTCACTGGAGTTCTCAAGGATCCTGTAGTTCACCATTCGTCCTTGAGTGGGAGACCAATCGTAGATTGTAATGTTCTCCTCTTCAGTGCTCATGTGCACGTCACCATCTCCATCAACTCCTTGTTGATCATGTTCTGGTGGATTCCTTTCTCGCACGCGTGTCTCGCTTCGAGCTATCAAGAAGCGGTCATAGGCTGCTTGAACTCTGTTGACTCGAAGGGGTTCAAGCTGCGGTGGTTGAACTTGGTCATCACTCACATGTCCTTTGTACATCTCAAGCATCTGCGTTGTCTGTCGGACATAGTCTCTTGCATGTAGTTCTGCCAGAGCTCTTTGGTGCATGTCGCGCCTCTTCCTCTGCATCTCATCTTCTAGTTCTTTCAACTTGTTCCACCACGTGATCATGCGCTCTTTCAAAAGTGTTCCAGCAAGTATCCCTGTAAAGAGAAAGGTGAAGTTCAAAAAAAAAACACGTAGAGTGGACTTATAGTCCATCTCCCACCAACCAAGCCATGTCATGGCCTCCTGCTGGATCTCGTTCTCCACCGTGTTGGTCATCTCACTTGTACCAAGAGTTTCAACACACATGCTCAGCAATGTCACTGCTTTCACCATTTGGCGCGGAACAGGTGCTGGTCTCACACCATCCACAAGGTTTTGTAGAAGTGTCCTTCTCACCTGCTTCATCCTCTGAGCTGTTGCCTTCTTGCGAAGAAACTCACTCGTTGAACTCTTCTTCGCCAACCGTCGCATAGCCACCATTGTTCTCATCCTCCTCCACGAAGCCTCGAAGCCAAGAAGGTACATCAGGAAGTTGCGTCGGTTTCTTGTCAGCTTCTTGGTATTGAGGTCTGCCACATTCAGAAGGGTTCCCACTCCTGTGATGGAGAGGGTCTTTTTCTTCACCTCCTCCTGAATCCAAAGCAGCTTCGTCTCGATGTGCTTCATCCGCCACACACCGAGGCGTTGCACAAATTCTCGGCATGAAGACGAATCCGTCACTGCCACCACCTTGCATGTCTCTCAACATAGGAACCTCCAAACTTCTGCTAAATGAAGTGCTTCTGCCACTCCTCCAACACATGCTGTTAGTTTGCTTCACAACTTGAAAGACAAATTGACTTTTGCGTTCTGCTCCAAGATTGCACCAAACCTTCGTCCACAAAGATCATCACTGAGGACGTCGAGCGTCGCTTGTGCTTTTCTGAGCTGCGGTCACCTGCCCAGTCGCTGTCTGTGAAGCATTCAAGCATATGTCCATCTTCTACTTCATTGCGCTTGTCGTAGAGCTCATCCAGCTTGCTGAAATCCTTTCTCACATACCTCTTTCGTTGGATTGCTCATGAACTGAGCGAGATTCCTCACCGAGTTCTGGACATCTGGACGGTCTTGGGAAAGATAAAGAAGTGTTCCCAAGGCGCTTCTGAACATTTTCTTCTCTGTCTGGTCAGCTGCTTCACCTTCAAGACGGTCGATGGCGATATCTGGCGTTGCACGTTCTTTTCGTTCTTCAAGTCCATACAAATGAGCCAAAGCTGGAATGTACCTCTATGAGGTTTCACTATCACCCCTTGTTCACAAAAGTAGTAGCGCTTCTTCAAGAACCTCACTGGATCTTTTGGGCTTTGCTCTTGTGGAAAAAGTTCACCTCCGCTCATAGTGAAGACTTTCTTCAACTCCTCATTTGCCCATTTCAGCACTTCCTCTGTTCCAGCCATCACCGTGTCATCAACGTGCGCCAGCACCACCACGTTCTTCTTCATGTGGCGAAACATTGCCAGAAGGCATGCTAGACTTTCAAATCCCAATTGCAAAAGATGGGATGTCAGGAAGTCAAACCATCTTGCTGCTCCATTCCGCTGTCCTGGAAGACATCTCCTCAAGCTCCAATATTGCGAAGAACCCTCAATGAGTAGCATGGCACAAAATAAACCAAAGAAGCTGCAG